GCGGGGGTAGGTGGAGGGGGATCAAAGAGAGATGACTGGTCCAGTGTCTGAATTTATGATGTTTCCTCTGACCTGAGGCCCCCCCGCTGTGTGTGCGTGTGTGAGTGTGACGGGGGGCGGCATTCCACCAGGGGACAGCGGGCCGACGGGTTTGACTATAGAGTGAAAGGGTTAAAGGAGTTGCATTATGGGTAGGACTGTTGTGATTCTTTCTTCAACATATGGAAGTTGAATTTTAAAATGTAACTTTTTTGAAATCTTTGTCCACTTTGGCTTAAGTTAAAACTTTGACAGGTATAAACTCCAAATATGTCCAAATATGGTCACAGGAAACACGTCATATATGGGGCTAAATAAGTGTAATTATACATAAAAATAAACATATTATGGAGTTAATATTTTATTGCGAAAAACACAAATAATAGATTTATAGATGATAACTTATATTATATTATATTATATTATATTATATTATATTATATTATATTATATTATATTATATTATATTATATTATATTATATTATATTATATTATATTATATTATATTATATTATTAATGGTAAATAATGGTTGATTTGTCCTTAACAGTACATTAACTACTTGTGTTTATTTTTATTTTGGGGGGGGGCAGTAGAGAGTCGGACTTTCAAGGGTTTTTTTTGTCACATGTCCACTAATACAAACATAACTACACTGTAATGCTGTGGTTCCCAAACTGAGGGTGGACCCCCCAGGGGTGGGACCAACAGGTCAAATTGTGAAATATTCAATTTCTTTTTTCTTTTTAAATTTCAGAGCATTTTTGAAGCAATAGCTGTGAATGTGTCAATGTTGGGGGCGGGGGGGGGGGAGCGTGGGGCCAAAAAATAGTCTTATCAATAGTATATTTGATATAAACATAAGAAACTATATATACACAAGTACGAGTTTATAGATTGCACTTTTCTGTGGCTCGGTGTCCGTGGACCAATCACAGGTTCCTGGTTGGTTTTCTGGTCTGAAAAACTGAAGAATTTGACCAAAGAAGGCTAACAGTCAGACATGAGTTTGTTCGGTTTTTTTTTTCTCTGTAAATTGTGTCCAAGAAAAATGTACTCTATGACATATGTAGTTTTAGTTTGTCCAATAAACCAACGAACATCTACTTGCGGGTCGCGGGCCAAATCTGGTCCGCCAAACGATCCAAACCGGGCCATGACTGGATTCCAAAATAAACATCAAATAATAATGTTAGACAAAAATGTGATTTTTTTTTTTTTAATATGTGGCCCTCTAGGTGTCAGTGCAGAAAAAATTCTGTCGATCCAACAAGTATAGTTGGTGACCCCTGCTGGACATGTGAAACATGAATGATGTCTTACTCTCTCATTCTCTTGTTATGTCATAGATAGAACTTATTTATTAATCCCTCGAAAGTTCCTCCCTGCTACCCTAGAATTCAGAATTGAACCATCGTCTTAAAACAGGAATGGGCAAACTAAGGCCCGGGGGCCGGATGCGGCCCAAACTTTTCCGAATTATATAATTTTATATATATTTCTCCAATAAATGGCGAAGAAAAATGATAAAAGCATTTTAGCATTTCAGCGTTTATGCATGACTTTAACGTGTCATTTATCTTAGTTCACACCAACGCTCCATCTATCTGCTCCTGACCTAACCCCGCCCCCACCTGGTCAATTTTAGGACAATTGTGTCCCGCGAGTCAAAAAGTTCGCCGACGTCTGTCTTAAAAGCTGGGGTTTTCTTCCCTTTGACTTCTGTGGAACCACAGGCCTCTGTGTTAATGGTTCAGCAGACGGTGATGACGGTGATGAAGTTGAATCAACTTTAGTTTAAAACACTCTTTGGTCACCCATTAAAGTCTAAGAGTTCTGTTTTTTTACCGTCTCTGCTGCTTCAGACTCGTGGTGCTTTCACTGACCGCAGTCTCCTGAGAGGATGTGAATGTGTGTATGTGTTAATGTGAGGCTCTTCAAGGTTCAGTGACAGGACGCCCAGGAGAGCGCTACTTAAATGACCGGCTTTTGTAAACAATCTCGGGAGGACGGGGCGTTGAGAGGCCACGGGCCTTATCTTTCGCTCTGAGTTTTCACCGAAGAAGTTTCCTGATGTCGTGTTTTTGTTGTTTTTTTTTCTCACTTCCTGCAGGTTAAAGGAAGCTCAGGAAAACATCAAGAAAATCACGGCGGAGAAAAGAATCGAAACCAAGAAGATAAATGCAAACAGTCTGGTGAGAATCGGTTCACGCAGAACTTTTGTTGGAAACTGCGAAGGTGAAATTTGTTAACGTTAACTTTCTCTGCTCCAACAGAAAGAGAGGCTGCGGGCGAAGGAGGCCGGCGTGCCCTCGAGTTGAGGTGACAAATCAGAAAAAAGTCCGTCTGACCAACGGAACTGAACTCTCCAGAAACTCACCTCACTGCCGTATCTCTGCTCTGCTAACAGCACTGCGCGCTCCCGGCAGACCTGCGCACCTATACAAAGAAACCCCCACAGTCCCGACACCCCCTCACCCTCACCCTCCCTCACCCTCCTATCTGGCCTTTCTGCTAAAAGGAAACTCCTGCGCTGAGGATGCATGGCTGACACGGCCAAAGTGATGAGAGTCCTGGAGGCTAAAGGTTGACCTCATTCATCCAGAGTGTCGTGCCCTCTGAGAGCCCGGCTCGTGAAAGGTCTCAGTGGGTCACTGAGATTCACAGCGGTGCCAGCTGACGCAGGATTCCTTCAGCCCCGACGAAAACTGAGGAACCGTATCCTGACGCGAAAATCGCGGTTTAGAAAAAAAAAAATCGTACAGTAAACTTGGAAAACATTGTTCCTGCTGGAGGTTAAAAAAAACAAAAAAACAACGTTGACAGAAGGAACTGTCGTCTCGCAGCAGCTCTGGCTCTGGATGGCTACCCCTTCACCACGGCTCGTTGAAGGTCTTGTAAATATGTCATGTGGTGGAAGAATCAGGCAGAGGCGCGGCGTTGATAAGTTGGATGAATGACCTGCGTTAGATCAGGAGCAGATGAAGACACGAGTGCGGACGGACGTCATTAGCCCGCATTGGGGGGAAAAAAAATGAGTATATACGCAGATGACACTGTATTGTGTGTTTACATTACACTGGTTTTCACCTCTCATGGTGGCGGTCAGAAAAGAGTAGAACAAGAAAGTGAGTGGTCGAGCCTCCAATCACCCACTGAGAGGTAATACAACAGACCTCCCCGCTACCTCCCCCTACACCCCCCACCCCAAAAAAAAATAACCCTGTATGTGCTTAGAGCAAAAGTTCGGACCTCTGTCGAGTGCCGTAGGTCACTTCGCGCCCTGCACCGTTTGATGCACTTTTCGCTTAGAGTAGCTGTATATCGTAGCTCACAATCGCGTCATGCTAGTCGCTTTCTTCTTCTCTGGATCACTTGCACTTTTTGCACCTATTTTTCTATGCAAGGTTATGGTTTCCACATAAAGAAAGTTTCACTTTTTTTTTTTTTTTTTTGCATTGACAAAATGCCATTTTGTTTCATTTTTTTAGGATAGTTAACGAAGCGCAACGTTATTTTCACAGTCCCAGAAGAGTGTATTTATGTAAGAAGAGATGAATTTTTTTTTTTATGACTGAGGAGCTGCTGAATACGTCAGTCGGACGAACGATGTATTTTCCCAGGTTCTCAGATGTGTAGAGAGAAACTAGTCGCTTGTTGAGTGTAATTTGAAGGGAGGTGGGGAGGTGGGGGGTGTACTTTGGAATATTTTGGGCATTTAGGCATATCAGCTGACGCTATACCTCAGACACAGTTTCCATCATTGGTTTCCATCTATAAAAACTGCACCTTGGATGTTTTTTTTTTTTTCTTACCCTCCAAAGTCTTAACGTGTGGATATCAGAGATTCTAACTTTAAAACAGCTGACACTGACCAGTGTCTGTCGTTCACCTGCGTTGGTTTGTGCAGCCTTCGGTAGCTCTCTGTAGGTGCTCTCTCTCTCTCTCTCTCTCTCTCTCTCTCTCTCATCTTATGGAATTGTTTTAAATTTCAAAAAATAAACGACTGGAACCAACATCAGTAACGGCTGTGTGAACTCGACCGTTCGGTAAAAGTACAAACTGTAGGCTTTATTTTAAAGAAAAAAAAATTGTAAAGAGATTTTGACTCAGGATTCAAACATTTTGATCGTCGATCCACCAAAGTACATTTTTGATACGCTTTGCGTTTTTCTGCTTTTACTAATTATTTTTGTCAGATTCTGGTCTAAATCTTTTTAAGCCTTTGCAAAAATCAATCAAAAATAGTAGTTTAAATTATTTTTTTTTTGTTTTTTCCACAAAAATCAAAACACATTTTTACGTTATAAACCAATTAATTTTGTAAAAAAAAAGAACATTTTGACATTTTTCAGATTATTTTTCCCAACAAATAAGAGTTCTTTAACACTTTTTTTTCTCTCTTTTTTTTCAATTTGTAAAGGAAGACTTTTATTTAAGATTATATCAGAGAAGTTGACACTTTAACAAACTGTACAGCTGCAGGATCCCTTTAGTCTCTAATTTTTTTTTTATAGATAATTTAATCCAAGGGTTAAACAAACGGGTTACATCGGAGCAACTTTACATTTTACAAACTATTAAATCTCTACATACTGTAACCACACCTGTACACGGTCTATGAAGTCTATGGTTTCTACGTTTGTGTAGTTGTCCAATCCAATAGTTAGGATCCTGGTAATAACGAAATACAATCACATTTTCCATTTAAAAAAAAAAAAAACACGACACATCCAACATATTCCACACGGTGGAAACATCCAGTTTGACACGCAGTTTAAAACACAGACAAAGAAACAGACAGGACTTTTTTCTTTTTTTTTTTTTTTTTTTTTTTTACTCCTGTCGTCTCGAGTGTTTAGAGCAGCGACTGTTTTAAAGAAGAAGAAGAAGAAGAAGAAGAAACCCAGGGTCGTGTGGTTCATGTCGGGGTGAGGAGGCCGTGCGTCAAAACGTGCCCATTCCAAGTCAGCATTCTCGTGCAGTGATGCTTGTTTTTCAAACTTGGCAAACTGGTGAGGAGCAAAACAAAAAAAAAAAACAAAAAAAAAGGTTCTCGCATCTCAACATGAGTTAAAGCGTTGCATGTCCATATACAGTATTATTCACGGGTTGTTGTTTTTTTTTTTTTTTTTGCAGAAACAGTTTCTAGTGGAGGCAGCGTCGTGCTGCGGGACCCCCCCCCCGACCCCCACCCCGGGCTGGAGATCGACACGTGCACTTGGCTGTGTGACAGCCTCCGCTGTTCGTCTGCCAACAATCCCTGTGCGCAAAAAGGAGACTCGCGCGTCACGGATTCTCCGGTTTTTTTTTTTTCAGTCCAGGTCTATGGACAAGCAGCGACACTGTTTGACGCGCTGGATGCGTTTCTTCTTGGTGGGGGGCTGCTGGTCCGGACAGTTCAACGTGAAGGTCATGGTGGTGAAGCGCTTGGGCTTACAGAAGGAGCAGGACTGGAAGGCGCCCTCCTCCCGCCGGATGTGCCTGGGGATGTAGAAGGAGTTGCACTGTCCGTAGCAGAAGCGGTTGATGATGGTGCGGCTGACGCAGCCCTCCTCGTGGATGGTCTGCTTGAGCGGCTGCGTCTTGCACCAGTCCCGTTTCAAATACTGGCGCTCCGTCACGTGCAGCGCCTCCTGGCTGGACTCCAGCACCTCGTCGGCTGGTGATGACGAGCTCTGCCTCTGCCGGGACCCGGAGCCCGCCGCCTGCGGAGGTTGCGGAGGCTGCGGCTGCTGCTCCGATTCGTTTGGGTTGTTTTTGTCAGGATGAGGAATGGCGCCTTGTGAACCCCGATTTCTTTTTGAGTCCACGGGAGAGGAGAGCAGCCCGATGATGAGAACCATACTGCATAGGATACGCGCCGAGTTGGCCATCCTTGGGGAGAAGAAGAGAATCATTCATCATCCACACCGTTTCAACTCTGGACGGGTTACGCACAGCTGTCAGGGCTTTTACGCTGCGTAAAAGCGCACAGACGGAGTTGGCCGCGCGTCTCCCGGTTCCTCCACAGACACATGCTCTACAGACCTGACTTAAAAAAAAACAAAAAAAACTCTATATATTTGACTTACGAAAACACGTAGTGATAAATTACGCCGAGAATCCCATTTGTCACTACGTACTTTATGACGCGTTTTATCCATTACGCAAAGAATGCTGGCACATTTATCCAGAGCAAATGCCTTAAACAGAACCAGCCACACATGCGCGTCAGTGAATAACGTTTTTGTTTTTTTGTGGCTATTATATTAATTTTGAACCATCATCAATTGTTAGCACGATTAATCGAGTTAAGAACTCACGTGTTCGAGATCGCCGCGGTGAGAAGCGCACTGCTGTGGTCCTGTCAGTCCTCCGCGGCACCTTCCGAGGTGATGGGCACCTACTGCTGTCGACTGTACACTAGCGGGGCTGTGGATGGGTGGGAGACTAACCGCTCCATAGACAGGGGCCGGTTGGGGGGGCTGTAGGGGTGTAAGACAAATTGCTTCAGCGCCGGACTGTCTCCCTTTTAAATGTCTGCCAGCTGAGATGTGCACAACAGTTGCCTCTACATTATTGGCCAAACGCGATGTAGAGAAAATCAAAACTATCCGCCCCCTCAACACTTTCCTGAACCCACTTCAAGAAAACAGACAACCGAGGAACAGAGAGGGCAGGCAGGGGGAGGACGGGAGGGAGGGAGGGAGGGAGGGAGGGGGAGGAGAAAGAGGAGGGTGCGAAAGCCTGAAGTTTGTGCGCACATGGAAAAAGTAAAAGTTTTTTTTTTTGTTTTTTGTTTTTTTCTTTCCAAGACGATGGTACTATGCAGTATATCAAACCGATTTGGAAATTGGAACGGAACGTTCACGATCCTCAAAGCAAAATTATGGTCAGGCATGTAATCTAAGAATAAACGCGGTGATTTGAGAACACCTGCGGATCCTCAGCAGAGACAGCATTTACACTGCGAGTAAACTCAGCGCCACAGACGGCACTGAGCCACTGACTTACTGTCACAGGGGTTTGTTTAGGAGATGAGTCAGCTGACTTCTTAGAAAACACTCATCTTCACTGATAGCAGTTTGGGCATCGATTACAAACAGCATCGTAGATATATGTTACTATACACTGTTCCTGTTGAAGTCCTGGAGAAATATTTTTCACAAACATGGTCCTTTATTCAGTTGTTAAATTAGCAATTACACATTTTTCAAATGTATATATGTATGTATATATAAATATATGTGTGTATATATATGCATATACTGTGTACTGCTAATATATATATGTATATAAATATATATATATATACATATATATACATATATTTACATGTATTTATAACTGCGTTTCCTCTAGGAAGTTTTCCCAGGTGTGGCTAATGAAAATTTGAGGGCGGTACACCAGAAGAAATCCTTATCGGTGTCAAGGCTATTCTTGCTCATGTTTTTTCTTTCTAGACATAAAACATACTGTAGATACTGTGTCGCCCTCTAGTTTAAATTACATTTAAATACATCGTCAGACCCAGTACTGTTCAGTGAAGTCCAGTATGTAACGATGTAGAAAAGAGTTTGTCAGTAAGGCCAAGAGCCACTTGTGGCACACATACCGTAGTTTGAAAACCACTTCTTTGCTCATTGGCTACTAATGATCTAAATCCTAACCAAACTCTCTGATTGTGCTTGTAAATATGTTCATGTGAATTAAGTTCCATAACAATCATATTAAACCTTAAGTAGAACTCTCTTTTAAATTGTTTCTAAAATAGTTAAAAAAAATCTGAAATAAGTTACATAAGAGATATTTCAATTTTTTTTATAATTATTTCTAAGTCTCTTCCTGTGTGAACCCTGAGCTGGTTTTAGAAGTAGTAGGACTCCCCCTTGTGGCTCGAAAGAGCACTATCATTTTTCCCACCGAAAAATAACAAACATACAGACACAGTAGGATGTAGTTCGTTTTTATTGGCTTGAAAAAGCTGACATGACAGGATTTTTCACGTCTGTTTCTCGTGAAATTAACGGACTACAATATAACGAGTTGATTTCATCAATACTGGCAGGTTTTTCTTTTTCTTTTCTTTTTTTTTTTACAAGAAACAAAATGGTGCAATTTTTTTCTTTAAAAAAAAATCACAAGGCAAAACTCAGATATACACAGACTCCCAGCTTCAGTACACACCTACCTAAGGGTTAGATATAAAACGTATAAATAAAAAGCAAAAGTCACGATCCATTCAGCTCCAGTCATACCATCAATCGTGATTTGGGCCGTTGAACAAACGGCGTTCCGACCGAACAAACTTACACGCTGGCGTAAGGAAAAGTTCTGCTTTTTGTTTTAAGACATTTAAGGCGTAAAATCATCTCCCAATCAGGCCCCAAAACAACAACAATCAGCACCAAATGTAGCCAAAAATAAATATTTAAAAACAAAAAAAAACCCTGAACGTTTGAAAACAAGATGGAATGTTTCGACGTATGTTTTCACCAAAGGGAAAAAAAAAACAGGAAAGAAAACCAACTATAAATCTACAGGCCTGGTCGCTGACAGCAGTCGTACCTGGTTGAGGGGGTTCCACGGAGAACCCCTGTAATGGCTCTTGTCTTCCTCTTCAACCTGCTGCAGGCAGGGCGTCTGACCTCCGGCCGACTCGGGTTCACAAGTGTCTACTTTGGTCTTTGGTTGGACTTTGTTGGTGACGTCGCCTAAAGCGCAGGACCTGGTCCGACGGGTCAAGGTGCTGGTCCTCTTGGGTGGCACGGGGGGAGGTTTCTTTATGGTCCCCACGCTGTGCGCTTTTGCAGCCAGCGGCTCTTGTTGGTGAGGTCGACAGCGCGGGTGAGGAGACAGACCGCTCTCCAGGCTCACGGCCTTCACCACTTGGCCGCTCTCTATTGCAGTGGGATCAGCGGCGGGAACGGGGGTTGTGTCGTGGGGTCGGCGCGGCGGCGTCCCGGGTGGGAGA